AAGATCTTGATTAGCCTGAGTAACGAGTGATGTCATATCGAGGAGGTTATTCTTCAAGTAATTATTATTCAAGGAGGTATTCTCCTGATGACAGTATGAGTGATTCTCCAATTAGTTATTCACCTAAACCACGAGATCGAGATAGAACGAATGAAAGAATGAATGAACGAGAATGGGACATGATAAGACACAACGAATGGAATGGATACTCACCACGAAGAGGAGTAAGACGAGATGATCCATACTTATCACCACGACGAGACATTCGAAGAGAAGAACCATATTTATCACCACGACGAGATATTCGAAGAGACGATCCATATTTATCACCACGAAGAGAAATGAGAAGAGACGATCCATACTTATCACCACGACGAGATATTCGAAGAGAAGATGAGTGTGGAATGTTTTCACCACGTAGTCGTTCTGAAATGAGATTTAGAGAGAAACGAAGAGAAGAAGAACAAGAAGCAGAAACATACTTTAATAGAAATAGAAGAAATGAATGGTTTATAAAACAATTTCATCCAATCAACTTAAGAGAAAGGAGAATGGCTAAACAACGACAAGTACAAGAGGCATATGATAGATTTATGAATAATATTACATTTCCGAATTATGGAGATGAGAAAAGTCTTCCTGACGATCCATATGATGGTAGAAGAGTTATGGTAATATCGGACCATGCTACGACAAGTGAAAGAATGAAAGAGATTGCACCACTTAAAGATCAAGTTGAAAAAGTTGTTATTGGAGATCCACGATATAGGAAGGTTAGTGTTGGGTTTGTTGTATATAAAACTAAAGAAGCAGCTGCACAAGCAAAAACAATGCAAAGTGAATCTGACCGAAGTCAATTAAGTTCTATTCGATCAAAAGAACCACAATTACGGTATGCACCAAGAGATTTTAATGAAAAAGAACGATTAGATAAAGACTGTGTACAATTAAATCAACTTATTGGACTAATGGACCAAATTAATGGAGTAAAAGGAAAAGCATTACAAGATACACCAGAATGGGAACATTGGAATATTAGAGAAAAGGTTGATGTTCAAATTACATATTTAAGAAAAGTACATTCGTTATGTTATTATTGTTTAATAGAATATGCAGATGAAGAAGAGTTATATAGAAGATGTACTATTCATTATAGAGAAAGTAGTATTATTAATCAAGACTCACATCTTCCTCCAAAGACAGTACATTGGTTTAAAAATTTTGATAATTATGAATATAGCTTTTATACATCTTTAAAAGAAGAAGATAAGGCATTGGCATCTGAGGCTCAAAAGAGAATTGTTTCTAAGCTGTTTAAAGAAGGAGTTTGTAATGTGTGTAATCAAAAAGTTGAAGATCCAGTTAAACATGCCTTCAATTGTCATTCAAGTAAAATTGATCCAGTTGACATTGATGAAATCAATGAACGATTTAAACGTAATTTCCTTTCAGATCCAAAAAAGAAAGCATTACCTAATTATTAGAAGAACATTAATTGTATCCTAAACACTTTAATAATTTAGTAAACAAGTCAGTCAAAGAATTATGGTTTACATAACGAAATTTTAGTAAAAGTAAAAAAAAAGAAAAAACATAACTGAAAAATCATAATATTTGAACGAACGATATGAAAAAACTTGAAATGATCATTGTGATCATGTGTTTCGTTTGTGTAATTGGAAGTGTGTATCAACAAGAAAATGATGTGAAAGATTATAGTTTTGATCGAAATGAAATGATGGATGACCTAGTTTCACTCAATGTTGCAGATGAAAATTCAGTTGATGAATTTGAATTGACAGACGACGTATATCTTAGTCCGTATCAACGAAATCGTTTAAGAAATATTCAAAGGATGCAAAGAAAAAGAAGAATTGCAAGAAGACAACTACAAGCAAAAATGAAAGCGGCAAAAAATAGACTGAGTAGACAAGCAAGAAGATTGTTTAGAAACGCTAAGAAAAAAGTTAGACGACAATTACAAAAACGAGGTTTAGAGCAATTCATGAATAAGAAAACTAGAATGATGAAGTTAAGAAGAAAAGCACGTAAAGTACTAAGAAAGAAACAACAACAAGCAAGTAATAAAAATAACAAATTCAATAATCAAAGAGCATCTACCAATATTCAACAATCATCAACTTCTTCAATAAAAAATAGTCAAAACCAACAACCAGCAAAACAGATAAAAAATAATAAGAACAATAAAAAAAATAATATAAAGAAACAAATTCAAAAGAAGAATAATAACAATAAACAAATTCAAAAGAAGAATAATAATAAAAAACAAGTTCAAAAGAAAAATAATAGTAATAACAATAAACAAGTTCAAAAGAAAAATATGAATGTTGGACTTACACAACAAGAAAAAAGAAATTATGCACAACAAGAATATTTAATGAGAAAGAAAGCATTTGATGCATTAAAACGAATTAGAATGCTTAGAAGAAATAAACGAATGACTATTATGCAACAAGCAGAATTAAGAAAACAAATGAGAATAAGACAAGAAATGTTATATCGAACAAAACAATTAATGATAAGAAAGAAAAGAATAGAAGCAAAAAGACGAAGTGAAATGATTAGAAAAAGAAGAATTGCATTACAAAAGAAAAGAAATGAAGAAAATAGAAGAAGAAGAGAAATGGAATTTAAAAAAAGAATTGCTATGAAAAAACAACAAGAATTAAAGAGAAGAAGAAGAATGGATATGATGAAAAAACGACAAGAAGCCTCTCGGTTATTTAGACAAAAGAAAATGCAACAACGAATCAAAAGAATGCAAGAAATGAGAGAATTAAGAAGAAGAAAAATGATGCGTATTATTCAAGCACGAAAAGCTGCTAGATTAAGAAGAGATAAACAAAGACAAGAACGAAGGAGAAGGTATTTAGCTATGGTTAGAAGTCGTGGTGTTGCACCAAATATTAAACAAATGTTTAACAATGCAAGAAGACAACGATTAGTTAAACAAGTCAAAGAAGAATTTAGTCGAAATATTGAAGAAAGACAATTAAGAGAGAGGATTGAGAGAGAAAAAGAACGACAAATACAAGAAATTAATCAATTAGATTTACTCAATAGAAGGAGTAAAGAAGAATTAAAAAGTATTGAAAATTCAGCACAAAAGAGTATTCAACAAATGAATGAAGAATTAAATAAATTAAGAAATGAAAAGAATCTTCAAGCCCAACAACAGATTGATGCTATCAAAATGTTAAGTGATAAAAAAAGAGTTAAATTTGTCAAAAACATTAATTCTTTAATGGACAAAACATTAGATCAAGAAAGGTTAAAAGTTGACCCTTTTGTTGTTTTAGAAAAAGGAAGTAAAGATATGGAATTAATTAGAGTGATGAGATTAAAAAATAAAATAATGAATCAACTTGATGCTATTCAAATCTAATTTGTTTTTCACTCTGGTTTTTATTTATCCTTTTATATTCACTTTATAAGCATTATACTAAAACAATGAAATTATATTGAATAAAAAAGATATGAAAACTTTTTATTTCCTTTTCATAATATTATTAACAATATTATAGTAAATTATATTATCTCTCCTTTTCAAGAATAGAAAAAACTTAATCCAATCAACTCTATGTCGAAGGACATTGTCATGGAAAGTGATAGTGAAAGAAACTCAATGAGTGAAGAAAATCTTTCTTATGACGAATTTGAACAAAAACCACTTAAATTAAGACCTTATGGAAATGCTGGTGTAAAAGGTGTAATTAACGACTATAAAGAAGCCAGAGAACATGCAGAGCAACGACTAAAAGAAAGAGTTGAAGAGACTAAGAGAATAATGAGAGGAGAATCTTCCAATAGTATTGTTCAAGAGAAATGTGAAGAAGAGGATCTTGATGAAATAGAGAAAGAATTGTTTGGAGAGGTGGTTAGTGCTCAGGTATTTAAAGAACGACAAAAACCAGAGGTATTAAAGAAGATAGTTAAAAGAAGATATGGAGATGTTCTTGAATTGGATGAGGAGGAATATGCTAATACAATAACTACATTAGAGGATGATGTCTTTGCAGTAATTCACATCTATACTACCTTTGTAAAAGACTGTACATTAATTAATAGAATGATGGAAGAATATGCACAGAAATATCCCTTCGTGTGTTTTGCCAAAATCACATGGGAAGATTCAAATAAACCATTTCCAGAAAAATCACTTCCTGGCTTATTAATTTATAAAGGAGATTGTATGGTCAAATCCTTATTTGGTTCTGAAGCATTACCATTCCTAAAAGATATCTTTCCTGGATTACTAAATTGAATAATGTTATGCTTTGGTTCAACACTAATAATTCTTATAACTTTTTGTTTTAACTTCTTAATATTACATACTCACTTCATACTT